AATTGATGAATAAGCATGTCTACTCATTAGAAACACTGACAGTAAAATTTGAAATAACAGTGCAATTAATAATAAGCTTGAACCAATTGGCAGATCTTACTCAGTTTGGATCTGGATCATTTTTTACCCATTTTAGTAGAAGGATTAAAAAAACAGTTACCTTGATAGCCACAGCCAGCCAGTGCTTGTAAGCAAGAAATTGATGGAACACTTAGTTAACTGTGATATTTCTGTGAAACTCAGAAAACTCCAAAAAACAATTTTGGTTGTCAGATTTTGATTTTTAGGTTTACTTTGATGGGTCGAACTTGAATGTGACTTGTGGGTGCAGAACTGACTTGTTAAGAATCAAATCAAATTCATTTGGCTCTCAGCAACAGAGTAATTATTGTGGCTTGCGTTAGGAAATAAGAAATCCCAGAGCAGTATGCTTCACTGAAATTTTTCATGAGGTAGAATCTACCAAGTAAATTGGTATTTCTTTTGTATTTGCACTGTCACCAATGAAATTTATAGTGCCTGGAAATACTATTTTTAGAATAATGGCAGTGGTAACATCATCAACATCACAGCCACACTTCATCACAATGGACAACCTTTGCAGGTCTGTAGTAATTGTATGCAAAAAAGCTTTGTTGGCTGCATAACAGGAACAGGTAGATTCATGGTCAACTGTTTGGAGTATGACCCTTACACAATTTACCTATTTCAACTGCAGTGGAACCTCCATTCAGGGAACACCCAGGGACCAGGGCAAGTGTCCCCTAAAAAGAGGTTGGAGTTTGGTAATAATTTACTATAAAAAAATCATTATCTGCATTATCCTATGGCAAAAAATTCTCTGTCATCAAATGATGTGCGTTGTTAAAAAGGTCATATTGTGAAAGCTGTCATCATTGTGACTAGTGTACACTTAATCTTTGGGGTCAGTCACATTTTTATTGGTTGAGGTGTCCCCTGAATGGGTGTTAAATCAGGCTTTATGACCCAGAAAAAGTGTTCTAATCCCCTGAATAGAGGAGTCCCTTCAAAAGAGGTAATGGATACCAAGATATTATTGAACATTTTTCTGGGACCAAAGTTTGTGTTCCCTGAATGGGGTGAAAATAATATTATAATAAAAAATACCGAAATGATCAAGTAAGTTAACCAGCTTCCATTATTCCGGTCTGAGTATCAGACAATTTGTCTTATGGTCTACAACTCATTACTTCTATTTTTAGCACTGAGAACTTGGTGTTAAATCAAACAGTATCTCTTATTAGATATTTTTCTTTCTTTTCTTTTTCTTTCTTTTCATTACCTTTTTGCATGAAAATGTATCAATCTTGTGAGGAGAAATTCCCTTTTGGTCAATTTGGAAAATGAAAGGATTGTAATTTTAAGTACTCATTTGAGGAAGCATTTTAAATTTTTTTTTTCTCAATTAGTGTCATGCTGGAGGTGCAAAAGCTGCAATTGGTGAGGTCATATGATTACATTATTGTAAACATTTGTGTCAACAAAGAACCTTTTTCATACTATTCAAATACTGTTAATCCTTTGTCTTTAAATAAAGTTCTGAGTTGCACAATTTATTACTGTAACTACTGCTTAGAGAATAATTTCCTTCTCCACCTTATACGTTAATTTATCACAGAGACATTTTTTTAGTCAAATTTTTATGGTCAGGACTCAAAAAAAAAAAAATCCCTGCCATTAACCATTTTACTTCCCTAAATGGCCAAGACAGAATTTTTCCTCATGATATCAGTACAATATCATGAAGAGGATTATGAAACAGTAATGACAAAAAAAAATCTATAAGGGGAATATCAGTTGATCCAGTATTAAATTCTCTGAACCAACATCATGAGACCTGTATGGCAGACAGTAAGGAAAATTACAGCTAATGAGATCTGGCAGTCAGAGAGGGTTCAGCAGGGCTAAGATTTCAGATGTTTTCTCATACCCTTCAATCCCTGATAATCTGTTTCTTATCTCTTTATCAGAGGGTATGTCAAGACATCTTGCTGTTGAATGGGGCCCAGATGGTGTGAGGGTAAACTGTGTTGCTCCTGGTGCTGTGAAGGACACAGAGGGTTTCCGTAGACTAGGTAACAAATTACAGAGAATTACAGTTGGAAATAGAATCTGCATATTTTACCTGCACCTAATTTAAGTTTCATATCATATACTTTTCATAAGCTTAGAACAGAACAGAGGCCTGGGTTGCAACTGTTTTGATTGCTATGGTGAACAGAAACAATTTTAGCATCCAAAGTTTCAGCAAAAGCAACCTGTGTTTGGCAGACATGTGGAAAGCTTTTAATTAACATTGTTATAATAGGTTTTAAGAGTCTAAAGTTAGGCTGAGATAAACATTTTATTGCTTAAAATGAAATGAATTTTGGATATGTACAATTATTTAAAGAATTAATACTTTTCCTGGCTGAAAGCTGGTCTAAAGATTTTTCATACTCAATGTTTAACATTTAATTTACCTTAATCCCTGTTCCACTTACAAGGTAGTGCACTTCACAATTTTCTTTCACTTTAAGTCTGAAGGAAGCTTTAACTGTACTACATCTTCACAGGTGGCAAACATCTCCCACCAAACTTCATTGAGAATGTACCTTTACAAAGACTGGTTTCTCGCCAAGATGTGGCAGATAGTGTACTCTTTCTGGCGAGTGGTGCTTCAGCTTTTATCACAGCAAACACACTGGTGGTAGACGGTGGTAGTTGGATCACAAATTCTGTTTCCATGGCAACAATGAACAAGGCAATTAGCAAGCTGTGATCTGTGAGAATCATGTGTCCAATTAAGTTGTAGCTGATGGGCACTTGTGCAAATCCCAATTACGTGCTAATTTTTTTAGGCTCATTTTTTCTGTAGTTTCTTTTATTTCAGTTAATCTTAACCCTTTGCACCCTAACATAATTTCCTTTATTCTCATGATCTAAATGAATGATTCAGCAGTATTACAGTAAGGAGAAATTAGACGCTGGTCACTCCAAGGGTTTTAAGGGTTAAAATAACATTTCATCACTTGTGGAATATTTGCAGGTCAAAATACAATAATATAGTATAAACTTGGAAATGTGGAACTTGAATGACACAGTGGTGGGAACATTACTTGTTGCCAATAGGCCTTGGCTGATTCATATAAAGTTTCTTAGGAGAAAAATTTTTTAATATGTTTTATCACTGTGATTACGATTTTTTCTTGGGCTTTTTACATAGCATGAAAGTCCCATCATCTTGAAGCTGCATGATACCAACACAATTTCCTTTACTTGATGATATACCTGCAAATTGCTTAAAATTCAATTGTTTTTTGGTTTTTTTTTGTTAATCAAAAGTACAAGATAATTGATTTTGTTGGGCATCTTTAATTTCGTATCAAAGAGCCTGAAGACTTGCATCAACACTAAGAAAATGTCAAAAGATGTCCTCTTTAGTACCTTTCCATCTTAGGTTGGAAGTATTCAGGGAAAGTATGGTCATTCAATGATAATTTTCTCTTCTCAGACTCATTCAAGTTTTGGTAACTTCAAGTCAAATTTGTGAAATAGCATTGAATTTATTAGCCAAGGATGAAAAACTGTGTGATACCGGTAGTTAACAGGTGTATTGGAACAGATTCATGATTGATGTCTGCTCATGGCTGGCAAATTTTGTTAAGTGGATATAGAATAAAGTGATATAAATTAAATAAAATTGATTTTTGAAAATAAGCAGCTGATGATTGCATTGATTGACTGATCTTAACAGACCCTTTCTTTGACCTGATTTTAATAGCTATTAAGCTAGAAAAGGTTTTTGCAAACACCCATTCCCATTTTTCTATATTTCTTCCTTCAGTTAAGGGAGGACAAACGTTGCAGCATCTTATCAAGATTAATGCATTGACTTTAGTAACAATAGATATTGCTCTCAGCCTTGAAGAAAATAACTAACCAATTGAAAGAAATATCATTCAGTGATACTCTTAAATGTGAGACCAGACATCACAGAGTTCCATAAAAGCAGAAAATTTAAATGTTCAGCCACTCCCCCCCAGGGAATTAAGGGGATCCATTTTGCTACAGCACCAGTAAGTACGCTAAGATGGAATGTAGAGGTGATCAAAGGTCACATCTGCATTTCACTGCTTGATATCGTTCCTTGCCTTTTGAGGTTTGGTATGGACGGGACAGCTCTGAAATGCTGGACAAATCAATGCACTATATGTTGCTTGTTCACAGATGCCTCTTAAGCAAATTTAAGTCTTGAAACATTAATAGTCTATTAGCTAGGTCACAGGTCACTAATGACTGCCAAGTATTCTTTTTTTGAAATTATTCAAAATTTGCACTACATTTAAAATCTAGTTTGAAATTGGATCTTTATCATCTGTGAATGGATTTGTAAGACACTGCTAGATTTTATCAGTGATAAGAGTGGGCTTGCATGGCAACAATCTCCTAGGAACAAAATGTAAAATTTCACAAAAGTTGCTCTTTTTCTGCATTTATAAGTCACTCCTTTCATTTATATGGGAAATTTCAACCACTTTCATTAACATACTTAAGATGGCATACAGTAGTAATTTAAACCCTAAGCATTAGTGTTAAATTGAAATCAATAGTTCTCACTGTTTTTGTCCTATGACAAAAAGTTAATATTAGATCACTGTAAAAAATCTTACTTAGCAAATAGCTAGTTTTACCAACCTAGAGAGAGAGGAAATTAAACAGATCTTGATTTTGAGTTAAATTTTATCCAAAAAAGTATATTAAGCTTGTCACACTGATCTATACAAGACAATTATTAATCCACCTAACAAAAATTGAAAGTAATTTCCATTTACTTACAGGTAACTAACTAGGATTTATAAAATTCTGCGAGTATCTTAAACATTGTGATGAAAGAATAAGCTGAATTTTGTAAATTATACCAAGAAATATAGAAAAGTTAGGTGTTAAAGCCTTTAACTCCCAGAAGTGATTAACGTGTAATTTCTCCCTATCATAATTTATCCAGGAAAAAGGTAGTGACAATACTCAAACTTATCAAGTACAAGATACTTCAAGACCTTCATCAAACACCAAATTCTCATAACCAACTTACAAGGAAATGTGTAGCAGCTAGAGGGAAGAATTGACAATCAGATCTTGGGAGTTAAAGGATTAAGCCTTTTCTCTAGGTAAGCCTGCAAATACAGATGTGTTTTTTGTACTGTTTCTCTCCACCCAAGCTGAGAGGAGTAACAGCCATTCCTAGCCCAGCTGAGGTTAGTTAGTCATTGAAACTAAATGCATGCCCATCTGTGCTGTAGTATAACACCTTTTGATGTTTTCTAAAAGCCAAGTTATTCTTTCAGAATAAAATGCATTGTAGTGTGGGAACTCTAAAGGACACACGCTGTTTCCACATGATCTCAAAAACTGAATCTCTAATGCGACACATACAGCCTTGCCACAATATCATTGATGATGATAATGGCAGTTTCTTCATAACCAAGGATCAGTTGTGGGAAGGTCCTGCCAGGGGAGGCATGCCCTCAAATGACTTATCAGTCCTATTCTTGATAGGCAGATCCTAGGACATCAAGGGCACAAGAAGGAAGGTCCTGTTGGATCCTGTTCTTGTGCATCCTTTCGTCATCTCCTCCTCTCTTCTGCCGCCTCTCGTCTTGTGATCTCAAAATCTTGTGCTACTCTTCTTGTTGTTGATCACCATGCTGCATGGTTTTCTAAAAGCTGTTCCCAATTTTTGGGGTTGATGCCAGCCTGAGTTAAGTGGCCCTTCAGTTGGTCTTTCCAGCATTTTCTTGGAGCCCCTCTGTCTCGTTTTCCTTCTGATAGCTCCTTTGGGATTCGTGTATCTGGCATACAGGAGACATGGCCAGACCATCATTTTCTCAGCATCAGCATGGCCTCCATACTGGGAAGATTGGCTTTTTCCAGGACTTCATTGTTGGTTCTGTAGTCCTGCTATCTAATGTTCATGATGGAGAAAAGGCAGCATTGGTGAAACTGTTCTAGGCATTTGATTTGCTTTCTGTACAGTACCCATGCCTTGACCCCTTACAGGAGGGTATAGATGACAACAGCCTTATATACAAGAATTTTGCTGGAGAGGCAAAGAGAGTGGTTTTGTGTGAGGGTGAACACTATCTTTCAAGTCTTGCATTGCCTGCACATTCCAGCAAGCCATTTTCATATTCACAGTCCTTTTCTGTTTCCATGTCTGTCTTTTAGTTTATACTAAATCTTTAACTTGTTTTTACTGCTAAACTAGGGATGCCCATTGATTGGGCCAACCAACTGGGTAAGGATGAGACAAACTTTTTTTAGGTTACCATTATTGCACCCCTCTCTATTCAGGGCAAGCAGTGCATCCCTAGAAAAGGCTGCTTGGTCACTTGGGGTGGGCTGCTTGGTCACTTGTCTCTGCTAACAAGCAAGTGACCATGTTACCCCAGACCACCTACATGCAGAGTTACTCCTGTGACTTCAGCGCCACCTAGCACCTGTCATTTTGAATTACGGTCAAGTCGCCGACGGTTCAACTTGCCGATGCCAACTTGTCAACGTATAAAATCGAGTAAAGACGTCAGCAAGTTGGTCTTCAATCCAGTACAACTTATTAGAAGATAGACATATAGAAAAGTAAAAGATATTTAGTCATAAAACAATTTTGTTTTCTTCCAACAAAGTTTATAAGGATCTCATGGCGAATAAAGCAAGGTAAACATCGCCAATGAATGTAAAAGCTTCAGACATGAACAAGTTATAACTCTTTCGCGTCTGAAGCTTTTATATTCATTGGTGATGTTTACCTTGCTTTATTCGCCATGAGATCCTTATAAACTTTGTTGGAAGAAAACAAAATTGTTTTTTCACTAAATATCTTTTACTTTTCTATATGTCTATCTTCTAATAAGTTGTACTGGATTGAAGACCAACTCGCCGACGTCTCTACACAATTTTACACGTCGGCGAGTTGGCGTTGGTGAGTTGAACTGTCGGCGACTTGACTGGATACCGTCATTTTTGCCATGCTCCATCGCTGCTAGTCTTTATTTCCTGCCTGCGCTCTGTATGTTTCAAGTGAGGACCAGCTCATGCACACCAATCTCACTCTTAAAGCTTGGGAAGATTCACAGTGGCTAAGCAGGTTGAGAGGCTGTAAGATTCATAAGGCTGCAGCTTTTATAACAAAAGAACAACTATTTACACATGGCTAAAGCACAGGTAAAGGACTCTCTTTCATATCATTGAACCCAGGGTAATTGCATGACTTAAGAGGCGATCTCTGTAAGAGCGGTCCAGGGCATTTCGCATCGGAAAAAAAGTTTCCCCTCATACTTTACCCAATAAACTATCTTTGGTAACAAGTAAATAAAACCACATTAGTTTTTGGAAATACCTCAAAATAAAATTTTTAGAGCTCTCAAAAGTCAAAGCTGCAAAAGGCCCTTTTTTGACCTCTTGCGACATCGAAAATTTCAAAAGTTGAATAGCCCGTTCCTCATATCACACCGCATGCCACAAAAAATATTTTGTATTCTTAAAGTGTGTGATATATAAGGTGTATAAAATGCATTTCAATTTTGATATTCGTTAATTCAGAGGCTCGTCCTAATTTATTTAAAAACACTCGTTGGACAGCTTTCTGAAATTGGTTAAAAGTACTCTTTCTTTCTCGATTGATATTGCTCAAGTCCAGACCAAACCATTGAAAACTCCGCTTGGTTTCTGCTAATAAGATGTTTGGCTGCAGAAAAATATAAAAACATCTTGCACTTATTGATTTTCTTCGCCGAGATGACTTCGAACTTTTAGCGATATTGCAAGCGTGACAGCCGATTATGCAAATTAGTTCATTGAGCAAACTCCGACCGTTTTATGTGAGTAGCTCAATAAATCTTTGAAGTAGAAAATATAGTAGAAAATATAGTGGTCAGAGCTTTAAGACCACACCGATTAGTACCTTAAACATTTCAAAAGGCCAAAATTTGACAAATTTTATTATCTCGTGACGAAAAGACGTCAACAACAACTTATCGAATATCATAATTTGATTAGCGCTCGCAAACCCCT